ATAATTCCCACTTGCAGTGAAGGAAGATGGGCAGGAACTAAATCCTGGATAACCAGAGTGATTTATGCAATAGCCCCGGGATGGTAGATACCAGTTACTTGCTGCAGAGTATTTTCCATAACACACTTACAAGTGGTTTTGCTGAGAATCCCTTTTACTGACTCTGAAGTACTTCAGGTTTTCTGCTTGTGCTGTTTCTCAGATATTTGCTGAATAACCATGGAAGAGAGAACAAGGCTGAAGTATTTCTGGCTGATCTAAGTGTTGGTGGCAGTGCTGGAATGGGCAAAAGCAGGAGCTGCTGCTGCCTCACGGGATGGAACCCATGGGAAGTGTCTGTTCCTTACCGGTTGTCTGATCTATTTAGTCTCTCTGACTTTAGAAGTCTTGAATTTTAAATTGTTTATAAAAAATACACAGGTCAGTCCCAGGGCAGAAACAACATTGTCATTTGCTGTTGAATGTGCTTCAGTTACTTGTCAAAATTGTTACTGGAAAGGTTTACCAGCAGAGGTATCCAGAATTCTGGGAAGGACTCTCTAAAACATGCCACTGAGGGGATTTTTTAGGACTATTTATCGTGACAAGGGGGAGGCAACATCTCTTTAATTATTTTTTCTTTTGCACTTACAGATCATAAAGTAAAATTCCACGTTATCACCTTACAAAGAGGAAAAGTTTCTAAATAAAACAGATGAAGGCAGAGTGTTTTGAGGGAGGTTGTTTTTTGGTAGGTTGTTGTTTTAGTTTTGGGGGGGGTTTTTTGTCTGAAGCGTTATCTGCCAAACTGAGGCAGCTTTTGCCACTGGTTTAGTGGGGTGCTTTTCCCTCAGAATTCACTCTGGTGATGGAAGCTGGAGATTTCTCCCTGTGTTTGTGCACGTACTCACTTGTTTTTCTTGTGAAGCTTTATCATTCACTCTTTATTTCTTCACTTGCTAAATGCAATGACACAAAACTACTTAAGGTTTAAGACATGAGCCGATAGTTGCTTGTTCTCTGTCAGGCACCAGATGTAGCAAGGCCAGAGCACTTCAGTTGAGGGCCAAGTCCAAGCTTGTCCCACAAGGAGCTGATTCCTGTGGGAATGTGGTCCCTGCAGCTGGGAACACCCAGGTGTGACCCTGCAGGATGCTGAGAGGCTGCTGAGGTGTTTGTCATGCCAGGTATGTAGGAACTGATGATTGTGTAACTCAGATTTAGTTCTCTGAAGCTTTCTACCTCTGTGCTTCTGTGCTCTCCTTTGTTCTCCTCAGACACCCTTAATTCCGTGTTTAATTCCGTGTGCAGTGCTCTGTGGAGCAGTGGACTGTGAAAAGCAGTGCTTGGGATACAGCTCTGCACAAATAGGGGGTGAATGATGGCTCATTTTCTGGGAGAAAACATTCTGTATTTTGATTATGTTTCTGTAATAAGCTTTGAAAAGGCTGGAATGCCAAGCACTGGTGTGAGAGGGAGGCTCTGGATCCTCTGCACTTGGATAACCACTGGAACCATGCCTGGCTCCCCTCACACCCTGCACACACAAACACACCTTGGCTGTAGACTTGGTTTATTTTTCCCTCGAAATCCCTCCTATCTGTTGTTCCCATGACCCTCAGGGGGGCTTGGTGGTGGCAGGAGGTTTGAGGGTGGTTTCCTGTGCTGCCACTGGAATACTCACTGAGGGGATGGGGAAGGGGGTTTTCAAAAGGATTTTCTCGGCTGTCACCGAACTTCATAAGGTCTTTGAGTTATTAGTCTTTTGGATTGTCTCAACTAAAAATCTTGTTATGTTGGTACTGTTTGAATCCAAAATAGGCATATTTTTGGGATTGTGTGTATATAATCAAATGTAAGCTAATATAATCAAGGTAAGTCAGGAGTAAAATTAGCAGTAATTTCATTTCCTTGTTGATGATGCTGTTCCATCTGCCTGACCTGTGTGATGTTTGCCATGTGGAAGTCCAGGACACTTTCCAGGTTGCAAACAAGTGTGATGTGGGTTGCTGAGGAATCCTGCCATGAATCCAGCACAGTGAGTGAGCAGAGTGTACAGGACGTGGCTTCCAGGGTGGGTGGGGGCTTGGGGGTGGTTCTGTACCTTGGGTCATGTTTTCTGTGCTTTTCTCTGTTTTGAAGAGAAAACTCTTAGGTTGGGATATGGAAAATGGTTACAAATATGGACATGGTATGCTTTTGAGAGCTAAGGCAAAGGAGATGACATTTTAGGATAATTTGCTACATTTACCCCATTCCTTGGTTGTAGCTTCCTGCAGGAATTAATCCAGTGGCTGCTGCCCCAGAGGGATCATTTTTCTCCTCTGCCACCATCCTCCTCTGCCCTGAGATGTGGGAACAGGGCTGTGGAAGAGCTGGTGTGTGTCTGGGGAGGGAAGGGGTGGGATGTGCACCCTTTGGGACAGGAGGAGTGTCCTGCAGGCAGCAGGACTGAGGGATCACAGCACATGGAGCACAGACTCATTCCCAAGCCATTGTTGCACCATCACAAGCAGAGCCTGTAATATTGCAGTTTTCATATATTTTGATTAACAGGTAGAACCACATAGGCCATTTGCACACTGGGTCTGAAACATGTTCAAATGCTCTTTGTTTTATAATAATGCTCTTTTTGTACGTGCTGCAGTTCATTTGTTCCTCCCACTGTCACCTTGAATTGCTCTGTGAGGCTGGTGAGGGGCAGCCCTGTCTCCTCTCTGACTCTTCCTCTCTCTGCCTTTTGGGACAACTTTTCTGACAAATCTTGTTGCTTGCAAACATTTGCAAAGAATAAAATTCAATTTGTTTCAAAACTCCCCTGTTCTTTTGCTGATTGCTGGGATGGGAAAAAGGCAATGCTTGGGTTTATGTTGTGTTTTAAACAGGTTGGCTGCAAAAGTCATGCGGAATGAAAGAGTTTTGGCTTTAAAGTCTGTGCAGGCTGGACTGGCACAGACTAATTATCAACTAATCTGTTGTAGAGCAAGTATTTTACTTGACCATGTGTGTATCAAACTGCTTCATCTCTTCTGACATTTAAATAGTCCATACTCTGTAAAATATAAAGTGTTTACTCAAACAAACAAACATCATTTTTCCAGAGCTCGAGCTGGCACTGCTTGCTTTAAAAATGCGATTATTTTGTTTTCATGCCCTTTCCTTTTAGCAGGGGTTAATTCCTGTGGAAGATAACAAACAGAGATGCTCCACAGACCGAGGGGAACCCTGAAGCACAAGATGGTTTTTCAAGGAGCTGTTTGAACCCAAGAATTCCAAGCAGGACCGGTAAGGAAGGTGCTTTCAGACTCATCTGGTTGTGCTGTTTTTCGTGAGCACTGGAGATTTGTAGCAGGACCCTCTGCCAAGCTGGGATTAAACCAGCTCAGACTTGGCCTTACTGGAAGTCACCAGTGATGGATGGAGGGCAGAGAGAAGCTGAGACCAGCTTGGCCAAAACATCTCAAATTAAACCCAGCACAAGGCAGTCTGAGTCAGATGCTTCCAGACCAAGGCTGGCATCCACAGGGATGGGGAAAGGACTTGCCCACGGTTTTTAGGTGAGTAACATCACTCTCTTAATTACCTAATGGTAATTAAGCTGGCTTTGAAAGGATTGATTTAATTACCAGTGCACTCACAAGGAGTTGTAACTGTGTGTGCTGTGCAGTAAAAAGTTCTGGTTAAAGCTTTTTCAGTCTAATCATTATCAGCATCCATTTCAATAAATCATCCCTTTCTGTTAACATGTTTAGTTTGTCACTCTTAATCCTGAAGGACAAAGCTGTCTAAAGGTTCAGTGACACCTCTACAATCCTTTAGACATAAACCACTGACTAAAGCTGGGCCTAGGACTGGATCCAGGCACACCCAGCCCGTCTGAGGGTGCAAATTAAACCTTGTGACTCACAGGAGGGTCGCCCTGCTGAACTTTGTCCAAAGTGTCCATTTGGTCCATGACAGGACTCAGTTTTAAGCTTTTGTCCTTAAAAACCCTCTTTCCAAGTGCAGTTTGACCCTGACAGCAATTTTGGGTAAGGTTAATGTGTTAATTTTAATTAATTCATTTTATCACCTCCCCAGCCATTGCCCTAAAGATGCAGGTTTAAGTTCTTCAAAGGAATCCACCACAGCACTACATTTTATCACTCGTCTCCCTCCCAAGATTTCTGGAGCTCAATAAATTGCACAAAGGAGGCTTCCATTTAATTACATCATTAAATTAAGCACCATCATGTTCTCATGAGATTTGCCTTATTAACAAACAGCACTTTTTCTCTTCCCTTGCTTCTTCCTCAGGCTCCCAAGTACCTTCAGAATAATTTATTTACAGGAATCGACTTCCTAGGAAAAGAAAAGGCAACTGGGAAGTTGTATGAAAACCAGAAACTGTGCTGATTTCTTTCAGCAGTGCTCCAGTATTGCCATCTAGTGTTGTAAAATGATATCCAAGGAAAATGAAATCCAAAGATTTTATTAGTTACCATGGTTTTGTAGGAAAACTTCAACCTGCAGTAAAGTTTATACACACAAGAGCTGCTCTCAATGAGAGTCATTTTTTTGTTTTTTTAACAGTACACCAGAAAAGCCAGGGATAGTAAAGACAAATTCATGGAGACAGCAGTGCTCCAAAAACCTAACTTCCCAAGGCAAGGACCTTGGATCTCCACCCAATTAATGCTAATTAACATTAATAGTTTGTTTCACACACTGTAGAACCCTCCACCAGCTCTCCATGGATTTAATTACTCAGTGGTAAGTTACTGAAAAGCTACTGAAGAGACAAGAAGTCCATGATACTGACTCAGCCCAGTCATCCTTTTAATCTAGAATTGATTCTGGAGTTCTGGAAAATAAAAATATTTCTAGGAAACAGACTGGTTTTCCATGGTAAGACTGTTTGGGAACTGCTGGAGTGTTTCCATCTGGTATCCAGCTTTAACTACAAAGAGTTAAATTACAACTCATTATTTCCAGACACTGTCACTCTCTTAGGCACAAAAAACCCTCCATGATTTTATCTAGAGGATACAAACACCTTTTTTTGAAGATTTGAGGTTTGGTTTTTTTTTTAGATATAACAAAGTCAGAATGAGAAAAACCTTGCTGTCACCTCTAGTGCCTCAAAGTCATGATAAAGCAGCAAATATTTAATCACTAAACAGAGAGAGGTAGAAAATGTGGAATTTGGCAAATAATGTAATTATTACACAATTAAACCTCTCCTTGCAGAAATGATGGATAAGTAACTGAAGGTGTTAAATGTCACAGAAGCTCTACTGGCTGTGAGGGACAAGATATTCCAAGGTACACTCGGATCAGGGCACAAACAGTTCTATTATTATTCATTTTACACCCTCTTCAGGCAGCTCAGCAGTTCCTCTTTATCCATGTGGTATCCACTCTTTTTCCACTCATCCCTCAGCTGCTGCAGGGCTGTTCCAATTTCCTTCCCAGAAGTCACTCCCATCTTCCGTAAGTCATGGCCACTGACAGGGAAAGTGGGAACAGTCCATTCCTGCATCTCCTTTAAAAGCTGCTCTTCTCCTTGGTACTTCAGGAGCTCGAAGATCTTGGAATTTGTGTTAGCTTCCCTAGACTAGGAGAGAACAGGGAAAAAGAGAGGATTCACTGGGAATCAGCAGAAAACAGCTCCAACTGTGCTACTCCCATCACACCTCATCAGGCCGGATCTGGACGAGTTGGATCCAGGGAAACAAGGATCTCTCTCTCCTGCCTCACAAGTGTTAAAACATTTTTCAGCCTGACTGAAAGGCTTTCAACTGCTAAAAATATGGTGGATTTGTTTGTTTGTTTGTTATAAATTTCTTAAAAATGAATTTAAAGCCTCAGTATCTTGGATGGAAAAGAAAAAAAAGCTTTTGAAGCCAAGCAGAAATGTCTGCTGTTCATCCTTTTGCAGAACTAGACTCTACCAAAGGAAGAGAATCTTTTTATACCAAAGTTTCTGCTTTATGTGCCAGAGACATGTCAGGACATTTGCAATACCTCTTGATTTCTGGTTCCCTGTCCAGAGGAAAAACAAGGGGGAAAAAAAAAAGAATAATAAAATCACAGAATGGTTTGGCTTGGAAGGGACCTTAAAGGGATCTCTCAGGTTGCTCCAAGTCCCAACCCAACCTGGCCTTGTTTGAAAAACGAACCACCCAACCCCAGCTGACTTAACTGGAACTGGTATCAATAATATTTATACATGAAAGCTACTCCTCTGTTTTCTGTGACAATATTACAGTGGCAGCAATCCAAAGCTGGCTCATGATTTTTATCAGTGCATGCCATCCTTGTGAGAAAAATATCATGGCCTTTAAAACACCGGCAAAAAACTGGTTAAGCCCAAGAAAGAAGCCTGCTGTGAAATGGCTCTCGGCTCTTTTAGGCTCTTTCTTTCCACTAGGCCTTGTCATCTCTGCTGCTCTGTGCAACTGGAAATTCAGTTTCCTGGGAAGACCAAATAAAAACCATAGGAAACACTTACATCCATCAAAAAGTCCTGGTATGGCCTCAGTGGTTCTGGCCCCGTGGCCTTGCTCAGTTCCTGCCGGTGCTTCACTAAGAAAAGGCCCAGGTTCTTTTCTTCTTTGGAGATTTTCAGCCTCAGGTCAAGGTTGGTGACATCATCCTTCCCCTTGAACAAGGATGTCAGGACAGTCATGGGTTTTGGAGACAGATTCTGAATGTTTTTAGTGACTCTGGCAAACTCCTCTAAATTCCCATCAAGTGGGAGCCCTACAGGGATACACAAAGAAATGCAAGAAAGCATTAATAAGAAATGTGGATGTTAACACAAGGAAAAAAAATCAAATCTAATTTCTTTCTGAGCGAAACCAAGTTTTCTCTCAGTTTGCCACACTGCAAGTCCTGTTTGTCTATGATATAGGAGTAAGAAATCAATTTTCACCTTACCTATGTACTGGGCAATATCCAGCTCATACATAAGTTGAACCAAATGATTTACATGGTTTCCGAGAAGAATTTTTTTCAGTTCCACCCAAATCCTTTCTCCTGATATTCCAGCCAAACCTTTGGCATTTTCTTTAATTGCTTGCAGTGTAGCAGGTTCATGATCTCCAGCTTTCTCTGCAATTCTTCCATAAAATCTGCCAAATACACCCCCTGGATGTTAGATTAGGAACAACTACTGCACTTACAATCACAAAATCGTTTAGGTTGGAAAGGAAATATGACAACTACAACTCTTTTTACATCTCTTTTTGCATGTTTCTGAAACCTTCTACAGTTCATTTCCTCATCTGGGAAAGGCAAAACCTCTTCTCTTACCTGAAATATCTGAGGATTCGTAAATAATCTTCTTGTATTCTCTCACTTGCCTTCCCTACAAATCTGATTTTCTTGCTTTTCAAGTCTTCATAGCCATTAAAAAAATCATACAGTGTCCCATCCAAACCTAGAAAAAGAAGGAAAAAAACCCAGAAAAATATGAATTTAAGAATGTGGTTGACATAATTAAACACTATAATTTGAAAACACAGAAGGGAAGTTGTGTGAGTTGAGCTGGTTTGTCAGATCACCTCACATATTTGCACAGGAGAATCAAACAAAACTGAAACAGACAGAATCCACTGGCTTATTTTGAAATATTACAGATATTTATAAATAGAAATATTTAGAATACTTGCTACTGTATAAAACAGGAAAGCTAAATATTTGCTTTTCAAAGAACCTACCTAAAAACATGGAATTGACAGTGAGATCCCTCCTCTCAGCGTCCTTGTGCCAGTCAGTGGTGAACTCCACCTCGGCGTGTCGTCCATCGGTGACAACATCTATTCGAAGAGTGGTAATTTCAAAATTCTGTTCATGGAGCTGCAAATCCCACAGACATCGTTACTTCAGCACAGCCAGGCAGGGAAAAACCTAAAACCTGTGTTATTTTTTTTCAGCCTCCTGTTTGCAGACAGTGAGCGGACAAAGCAATGTGTGCCATGTTTTCCTACAGAGCAGACAACTGAGAAATACGAACCCCTGAAGACAATCCTTGCATTATTTATTTTCTAAAGAGCCTGCAGAAATATTCCTGCAGACCAAGGCAGAGGAAACATGACCTGGGAAATCAGGACAACTTGCCCACATTATCTGAGCATGTGGGTGGTCTACATCATCTTTGCAGGTGATGACACAGCAGCATGAATGGGCTGCATGCATTAAAATATGGTGATTATTTGAATTCTACACTGAAGAAGCAAAAAATCACTCCATGCTTTAGAAGAGGGTCTCATTTAAACCCCTGCTGTGAGGCTTTAACAAAGAAAGAGCACACTAACAGCTTTCTACTGGACATGCAGCACATCCACAGACATTCAGATGTTTGGAAAAGACCCCAGTCAAACCCCAAACCAACCCTGGCAGTGATGGTTCCGTGTTTCTCTCCCTTGTTGTTGATCAGACGAACTCCAGCTGAGGTGAACATCTCCTTCATCTCTGCAGGGGTGGCTGTCGTGGCAAAGTCGATGTCCTGCGGTGTCACCCCACTGAGCAGATCCCTCACGGCACCCCCTGCTATCCTCAGCTCATAGTTCTTCTTCTCAAACAGCTCTGGGAAGGAAAGGAAAACCATAAAGCACCGTCTCACATAAACCCAGAGCACAGTGTCAGCCCTAACCTGCCTTCTCACAGATCAGGATCACAGATGTGGGAATACACACTCCAGTGTGCAGGAAGCAGCAAGTACCTCACAGCTTCATGCAAAATGCACTAATTAGGGGCACAGCTGAGCACCCACAGGTATTTTCCCAGTCATTTGATTTTTTTTTTCCTGGAGCATTTTTGACATAAATATTGCCAGGTTGCTAATTGATACTGGGGGGTGTGGATCATCTTGGGGGCTGACAAGGGAACAGTGCTTGGTTTACTTATGGCAGACAGTGAACTGTGAACTAAACTTCTCCAGGAACAATATAGAATCATGGAATCACAGCCCACAGAGGGGACACCGAGCTCTGCCTCATCCCTTGAGACAGGCTGGGAGAGCTGGGGGTGTCCAGCCTAGGGAAGAGAGGGCTCTGGGAGACCTTAGACCCTTCCAGTGCCTAAATGGGCTTACAAAAAGGCTGGGGGGGAACTTTTTATGGAGCATGGAGTGACAGGACAGGGGACAATGGCCTTAAGCTGAAGGTAAGATTTAGACTGGATATTGGGAAGAAATTCTTGCTGGTGAGGGAGGTGAGGCCTTGGCACATGCTACCCAGAGAAGCTGTGGCTGCCCCATCCCTGGGGCAATAAACATGTATAAATACAGTTAACACACTGAATAAATATATATTGTCTCTACATGGACTCCCTTTGATATCCAAGGAGTGCAGTCAGCAACTAAAGGAGTATTAGTGCAAATAATACAAGTATTATTATTATTAGGGCAAGTAATTATAAGGGCAGGGGGGATGGCTTCAAACTAAGAGAGGGGCAATTAAAATAGATACTAGGAAGAAATCCTTCCCTGTGAGGGTGGGGAGGCCCTGGCACAGGTTGCCCAGAGAAGCTGTGGCTGCCCCATCCCTGGAAGTGTCCAAGGCCAGGCTGGACGGGGCTTGGAGCAACCTGGGCTGGTGGAAGGTGTCCCTGCCCACGGCAGAGCGTGGCACTGGATGGGCTTTAGGTCCCTCCCAACCCAGACCATTTAATGACTCGTCTCCTTGCTCAGAAACACCCCCAGGGACCCCACGAACCCCGCGGTCCCCCCGCACTCACCGGCCACGCTGCGCAGCCCGGGCGTGAAGAGCGCCTGGAACTGCGGCGCCTGCAGCCTCATGGCTCCGCTCCCGCCGCTCCGCAGCCGCAGCCCGGCCCTGCGGGGCACAACCAGCACCTGAGCCCACACGGGTCCCCGGAGGTGCCCTCGGAGGTGCCCCCGGAGGTGCCCCCACATGCCCGGGCGCTCCCGCCGCCCCGGCCCCACTCACCCCGGCTGAGGACGCGGCTCCGCCGCCCCGGCGCGGCCCGATGAGCTCAGCGCGACCGCCCCGCCCGGCCCGGCCCCTCAGGGGCGGGGATGCTGCGTTCGGCCCGGGCCGGCCCCTGGGGCGGAGCGGGGTCGGGGGTGCTCGCTCGGTGTGTGTCCAACTGCGCTGCTGTGAACGGTGACCGCCGGTCCCGGGTCTGTGCGCACAGCGGGAGATGGGCTCGTACACTGCAGAGACATAAACAGTGCCACAGAAACACGGAATGAAACAGGCTGGAAAAGACCTCCGAGATCAGCGAGTCCAGCCTGTGACCCAGCCGCACCCTGTCACCCAGCCCATGGCACTGATGCCACATCCAGTCTGTCCTTAAACACCTCCAGGGACGGTGACTCCCCCACCTCCCTGGGCAGCCCATTCCAGTGTCTGATCACTCCCTCTGTAAAGAATTTCTTCCCGATGTCCAACCTAACCCTCCCCTGGTGCAGCTCAAGGCTGTGCCCTCTTGTCCTACTGCTGGTTCCTGGAGAAGAGCCCCATACCCACCTCAGCACAGCTCCTGCCAGGCAGACACAGCCTGGTGCCAAAGGCACCCACGGATCCTGCTCTGCCGCGGGGCTTTGCCAGGGCACAGCCAAGGGAGCCCAAAGGGTACCAGCGAGGAAACAAGGACAGACCTGTGCAGAAATGTAATAAATTAAGACTTTCACGCCCTCTCCCAGCCCATTGGGCTGGGACTAAGAGACCTTAAACTGGCTTTCCAGGGCTTAAAGGGGCTTATAAAAAAGAGGGAGTGAGTTTTTTACATGGACAGATAGGACAAGGGGGAACAGGCTCAAACTGAAAAACAGTAGGTTCAGATTAGACACTAGGAAGAAATTCTTCCCTGTGAGGGTGGGGAGGCCCTGGCACAGGTTGCCCAGAGAAGCTGTGGCTGTCCCATCCCTGGAAGTGTCCAAGGCCAGGTTGGACGGGGCTTGGAGCAACCTGGGATACTGGGTGGAATTGTTCATGTCTCTTCAGTTTATGACCCTCCAAATCCCCAGATCCTGTTCTGTGGAGCAGACACCTAATCAGGGATAATTGATTATTTATAGCTAGTAATGTACAGCTGATAATGCCTGAGTGTAGTTGAGATCTTGTCCACGTTGAACTACACCCATTTCCACCAATTTGGCAAGAACTTTCTTAATGCTAGTATTAACCTCCAAAGCACTCTCCCACCTTGTGTCACCTGCACACTTAATAGGGATCTCTGTACTTGTGACCCAGGTTGTTAATGAGTGTGTGTCATTAGCCTTCTTCCCATCCTTCCTATCACTCCATTACACCAAGCCCCACTTTCTGCAGGGTCTTCCCTGGGCCCTTGGGTTGGTTTCTGTGAGCCTGTGTTACCACCAGAGAATCATGGAATGGTTTGGGTTGGAAGGAACCTTAAAGCCTATCTGTTCCACCCCCTGCCATGGGCAGGGACACCTCCCACAAGCCCCATCCATTGTGGCCTTGAACACTTCCAGGGATGGGGCATCCACAGCTTCTCTGGGCAACAGAGAAGTTATCCAACCCAGTGGATCACAGCTCACAGCTCCTAGCACAAGCTTAGGAACCTGGTGCTGTTTTGGTACTGGTAACTTCTCAAAATGCTACTGGTGTCTACATGGGAAGAGCATTGGACAAGATGGTGTAAAACATTGGACAAAACCTGCCCAGTTTTCCAAATATGTTTGGGTTTTATTTTCTACCTGAAGAACAAATCGTGTTATCAGCACTGTGACTCCGGGTTATTTCTTTGCAGTCAGTCAGCACATTCTTGCCATTGCAAAGTCATTAGAGAACTGTCAGACCATGGCATATAATTAACCCTCCATAAATAGAGTAAACCCATTTCTGGGCTAAACAATGAGCTTGTGTGGAGGTTCCATCCTGGGCTCAATCCGTAGTTCCCTTTTTCAGTGCGTGGTTATCTGACTTATTGCCATCACTTCTGGGGGATCACATTTGTACTTGAAAGGCAGCAGTTATAAAAGAAACCCACGGGGAGATGACCCAGAGGACACTGAACAAACGGAGCAGACTCTTCACAGGACTTGTGAGAGTGCACAGGTAACCCCTGGGGTGTCTCTTGTGGTTTGAGTTTGTCCTGTTGTGCTTGCTTTGAAGGCTGCAGAGGGGCTGCTTTTCACTCGGTTTACACTGGGAAAAGCATCTGCAATCTGCTTCTGCCCCATTGCTTGTGAGGCAGTGGGACACAGCAGCTGTAAGGGAGAAAGTCATTCCCTTCTAGAGGCCGTTTTATATGGCTTGGGTTTCTCCTGTCCTTTTAAAAGGAGTATATTGCCTCTACAAACAAAACATACCCTTTACCTTCTGCTTATTACTTTTTACTATATATAACCAAAACATAATCAAGCCTTCCATTTGTCCTGAAAACTTACTACACCCATTTTTTGTGAGGAGTGTAATCCTCTTGTAGACTTCCTGTTGCCATTTTTATTTGTATATGCTTATTTTTTTATCTTTTCAGCAATTTCTCACGTCAAACAGGGAGGGTATCACAGACTGCAGTGTGTTCTTAGAGGTTGTAGACTTACACAGCTGCAGGAATATCTCTTCCAAAAGTATGTTTTAAGTCTTAGTTTGACAACACTAAAAAAAAAAAAATAGTGTTTTTACAAACAAAACAGGATAAGATAAACTGAATAGAACAGGATTGTAAGTAAAGACTAATCTGCATTACAGGAACATTTTATATCTAGTTTTAAATAGTAATGTGCTGCTCAGAAAATCTAAGGTCTGTGTCTAATACGTGCAAGCTTTTAGGCAGCAAAAACACCTTTGAAAAGCTGATCTTCAGGATCTTTTCAAAAGTATAGGGAAAAAAATGTGCCCAGGAAGAATCAAAGCCCTTACTTTTTTGAAAACAAAGTTAAAAAAAAATCTCTAGGCAGCCAACCCCCCTTTTAAATAAACCCAAGGGACAGCCAGCTTTTCTAGTTGTGCTAAATGCCTGAAACCAATGCACTGACATCAGTCAAGTCAGTAGATGTGAAGCCTAAGCAGCTGTAAAACATGAAGCTTTTTCCAGATTTCATTTTAAAAATAATTTAAATATATTTTAAAATATTTTTTTTAATAAATCTTAAGGGTTCTTGAAGCAGCAAAGGAAGTCTGGTGCCAGTAATTTGTTCAAAAGCGTGTTGGAAATCTGTATCATGTTCTACCCATTTTTTCAGTGAGTTTTTTTCAGGAAAGCAGTATAGGAGTGGCAGAGATCAGGTGCCTTTGTAAACCTGTGTCCAGTTCACATAATGCCCTCCAGAAGAGTATAATCATGTCGTGCAAGTGAAAAAAGCCAAAGGAACGGATTTTTCAGGAATGGTAATGCCTAGGAAATACTCCTGGAGGCATTGTGCAGGCATGGATGTGTGTGGTAAGGAATATTTATCCCATTATCTGTGAGCCACTACATTGTGGAAGAACCACAATGTCTTCCAATCAGCCAGTGTACATAAAATCCAAGCCTGGCTCCCCTGGAATATCCCTTAGCAAACTCCAGGGGCTCAGCTGGGCTCGTGCACATTTGGGCTTGGAGAAAAGCAGACAGACACAAAATGTGAATATAGATAATGAGGAGACTTGGACATTAAGAAACACACTGTACTGTAGATTACGTGGCACTTTAATGAACTCTGCACTCATGCACCACTTTGAAAAATAGTTACTGTAAAGCAGAATTGCTCCAACTGTGATCAGTCGGGTCATAACTCAGTCCCTGGGTGATTCATTGGAGGCTCAGGGAGAACTGATGGGCTAAAGATGCTTTCTCTGCTCATTACCATTGGAAAATATTATGTTTTCCATACAAGCAATTGCTGTAGTGCCCCAGGGAAGGAGTGAGATTGGGCCAGGAGGGCGTATTTCTCTTCGGGAAGAAGATTTTGGAAAGCTGCTGTTCTGTATGTCCATATTTATCTTGGGTTACACGTGAGTGATTACACATAGATTTTTTTTTTTCCTCCCAGTAATTCATGAAACAATCCATAGGAAGCATGAGAACGTGCTGGTTTTAAGCATTAAAAAGAGTTGTTCATTTAAATGAGAAACAAACAAAACAGTTTCTCCTACACCCAATAATTAACACTGAAGAATTAGCCCTGAGGTGAGCACTGACTGCATCTTTAGAGAGCTTTACTGAAATAGCAGCTAGAAAGTAAATTCCAGTAAGGAGCTATTTTATATCTAGTGGCAGCTAAAAATATGGTTACTTCTGTTCTTGGAGGAAATAGGACTCTGCTGAAAGCCAATCTTCCTGAACCAAACACACTCCTCTCCGTGGAGAAATGCTCTAATTCCATGACTGCTCTGAACATCCCCACACGACAGGGTTTGAAACCAGCAGCATTTTCAGAGAGGGCTGGGAGAGGCAAAGGGAGCAAAATGAAATGTGTTGGTGGCACTTACATTAAATTCAGCTCTTACAAGAAGCGTTTTCCTGCAAGGAAAGAGGGCTCTATCCCTGCAGTTTCATTCTTTTGATCCCGTGGATATTTTTTGAGTGCTTAACCCTTAGGATCGTGTTCACTTTTTGCTCCCAGGCTCTGTAAGATGGTGCCAAGGCCCCTCTGCTGATGCCTGGCCGTGTTCCTTCACCAGCTAGAGATGAAGGCCAGCAGGATGCAAGTTTGTCTGATCCTCCTTTGGACAACCCACTCAGTTCAGCCCAACACACCCCAAGCTGCACGAGGTGAGGTGTTTTCCTTCTGCCAACGTGTAGCTTTAGCACCACAGGGTGTGCAAATGCCCTCTGTGTGTTGGTCACTGTTGTACAGAGTCCATGGCATGCCATGAGTACTGGATCATGGATAACATGCCTTCTGGGACAGTTGTATCCTATCCCACATTGCTCCCAGCCACTGCCTGAGGACTGTTTGGCTTTGAGAGGGAAGAACCATGGAGATGCTACTTGTGTCTTCTGGGCTGGGCACTTCAGGATGGTTTGTCTTGGTTTTCTGAGCCTTTATGGGGCAGTTTTCCTGATGGAAAGGTGTGTGCTTGAATGCTGAATTCATGGTTATCAAAGGCTGAAGTTATGGGAGAAGTGGAGGGTGATCATGGAATCCCAGAGTGGTTTGTCTTGGAAGGGATCTTAAATCTCTTCTCATTCCACCCCCTGCCATGGACAGGGACACCTTCCACTGGACCAGAGTGTTCAGAGCCATATCCAGCCTGGCCCTGAACACTTCCAGGGATGCTGATGGTCCTCAACTGCCTTGGAGATGGCAAATAAGGGAGGGCAGGCTCTGAAGAACTGGAGGGGAGCAGATTGATTATTTCCCTGCCTTGCTATTTCTATACTAACATTTCCCCCAGCAGGAGACCCTCCTCATTTCCATGCAAGCTCCAGGAATCCCTTTTGCCCTGTCATTCTAAATTATCATTCTCATCCTTCCATGTTTTCTTCCATTTGTGCTTAATTCCTCTGTTCATCATTTTGGTTCTACTTTTGTGGCTATCAACCCCCTCTTAAAAAGCTCCCCGTGTCATGCTCCTCCGGAAGCTTCTGTGGGTGAGAATTGTTTGTACCCTCCATCAGCCCTGTTTCTATATGTCTGTGTGGCCATGAGGACCAGGATGAAAAACCTGAACCTAATTAACAAGCCAAATGTAACATATCATACTCATTTCCAAGTTGAAACTGTCGTAAACATCCATTTTTTTATAGCTAAGTTTTAAGTAAACTCTTATTTGATGAGGTTTTAGTTATTTAAAGATATTTTTCAAATATTAAAAACATATTATAAGAAGCTGTTGAGAGAATATGAAATGGAAATTTGCTTGTCTTTCTCACTGCTTGCAAACAGGTCTCACTCTAAACAATTCACTGCATTAGTATGCCATGAATATTTTTGTTTTCTCCCTTGCAGTTCAGGTTTTCCCACCTGTTAACTTCACCCTTACAGTCTCTGCATTAGCACAAGTCCTGTTACACTGGGAACCAAACCCTGCTCAAGACCAAAAAAACGACACCATTAGATATGAAGTGAAAATCCTCAGCCCTGTGCCTGAAGAGGTAAGAGAAATAAAACAAGTATCCTGAGAAGGCTAAATTCCTGTTATTCTCTTACACATAAACTCTGAGCACTGGAGAGATTCCCTTTGAGCTTTCCTTACAGACAGAGCTCTGCTGGGATGAGGATTAGCCTGGGAATTGGCTTTCCCTGCAGGGTTCACCTTGAGGGGATGATGATACCGGTTTAAGTACAGGCTCCATGTTCAGGTCAACTTAATGTCTGGCTCAGTCTTTGCAGGTGCCTTATTTCAGCTTCCATCCCGTGGGATGCTTATTTGATACTTTTTATTCCAAGTATGACACCAGGAAGACCCACAGTGTCCGAACGGTCGCGCTCCACGACGGCTTCTCCGCACACGTCCGGACGTTGCTTCTCCACAACGACCTTCAGATGAGAAGTGAGTGGGTGCAGGAAAACCTCCCACCTCTGCCAGGTAAGGAGAAACCCAGGGAAGGTCTGCATTTTGTGTTCTGCCCCAGACATCAAATGGTGGAAGGTTTAATACCTCAGAAAATGCAACATTTTGCTCCACTGATCTTACAAAAGGATTTAGTCCAGGCCTTTCTATTCTCATCTCCAGGACAATCTGGAGGTGCAGAAAATGGATAACACATATAAAATATTCTAAAAATTGCTTGCTAAGGCTGAGATCACCTACTGTGGTGCACTCGAGGATATTGCTGCCTTATTACACATTTCATTTATAATGGTGCTGTGTGGCACAGCTTTACTTACACGGACTGGGAATGTCCATCCATCCGTAACCAAGAGTGACATGGAAGAGAACTGCAACAAACGGGCCAAAGGCTGGAATCAGAGTGTTTTAGCAGCATGAATTTCTTCTGATTTTCGCAATAAGATTTTCCTTCTGCTCTGTAATTCCTTGACTCTCCAGGTGCTCCAGAGACATCCATCACCAATTTGTCCTGTGTCACTCACCTCACCATTTCTGGGACTGTCTCTCTGCACTGCTCGTGGCTTCCTGGCCCAGGGGCACCACAAGATACCGAGTACTTTCTGTTTTACAGGTTGGTGTTTCCCCCCTTTTCACTCAGCAGGGGATTTCTTTAAGGGCATCACGTCTCACAGGCGTTTGAATTTAGGTACAAGAACCACACTGAGGAATGTCACCGTTATGCCAAAGACAAGTGGGACAGGAATTCTGGCTGCAGCTTTCCAGGGACTCACATTGATCCCCAGGAGGCTGATGATCTCGTAATCCACATTAATGGGTCCAGCAAAAGTGCTGCAATCAAGACTTTTCAGCAGTTATTTAACCCAAATGCCATTGGTGAGTTCAATACATTTAAAAAAATATATATATTAAAAATGTCTACCAGGATTATCAAAAGATTCGTGAGAAAATACTGCTGGATTCAATTACTCTTGATGAAGGTGAACTGCTGCTTTGTACAGACATCTTAATGAAATTGGAAGAGATTATAAGAGAGAACTGCATTGTTTTAATTAAATTTGATTTGAATGATTTATTTTAAATTATAGAATGACAAAAATAAAAGCTAGAAAAGAGAGTTATGCAGGTTTTTTAGCAAAAGCAGTATTTCCAATATTAATTTGCAATTGATGTACTCAGTATACCTTAAAATACAGTTTTTACTACCCTTTATTTTGCAGCCTTTCTTTAAAAGGCAAAAGAACATGATGCTCAAGATAACCATGTTCTTTTAAAGAAAGGCATTATACTGTCAAATAAAGGACAACCTCAGCCATGACTGTCCATCATCTTCCATCTACACAAATAATTTATTTTCCTTCATTAGTTCAATGACCTTTTTTTTGTGAACAGACAATATTTCCCTTTTCCATGTCTTCACTAAGAGAAAAATTCACATATTTTCTTCTTAGAAAGCATCCTCCTAACAGCTGCTGATCCATTCCTTTGAACTTATTCTATTTTCAGTGACTTTCCTGGCTATACCTGTTTGCTTTTTTTTCTGAAAAGAAGTTTTTCTAACCTCTATCATTAATTTATGCTTTTGTGAGAATTAATTTAATAAATCCCCTTCTCTCCCCATAATCTAGTTGTCCAAAACTTTTAAATGGACTTTCCAAGCTGTTTTCCCATAACTATTTTCTGCTAAGTAGTTACTCCTAAATCCTTATCTTTTCTGCCCCAAAGGTGAAATAAATTCAAGAATTATAGGTGCTACTTGGAAACACCATCAGTTTATAAAATGCTCCAACTATCAGTATTTAAACTTTGCTCTATAAATAACTTACCAGGAGAGTTTTCTTTTGTAGAGAAAGTGAATGTTCCCAGAAATATCACTGTATCCTTGGAGGAAAACCATCTCCTGGCCACTTGGGAGAAGCCAATTTCTCTTTTCCACGAGGAATGTTTTGAATATGAATTTTACCTCTTCAACCTGAAGTCAGGTAACAAGCAGGTAATTGCTCCTCTGCCACTCCAGTATTATCCAGCATTCCTGTCCTGGAGAGCTGAAATTTGCCTTTAGGGTGAAAAAGTCTTCAAATTCATGGATCAGTTACAAAATTTAAACATTTAAAAGTAAAACCTGCAATTACTACATTTTTGAGACTATGGACTTCTGGTGAAACTGGTTCCCATTTGTGATGGGAAACACAACAAAACCAAAGTCTCACCAGGTTTTATGTTTTTCCTGGTTTATGTCTGCAACAAAGTATCCCCAAGAGACTTGGGAAAGCAGGAGGACAAAATTGGAGTTATTCACTTTCATGCTTCTGGGTTCAGAACAGTTTTTACCATCCTGAAAATCCTGCTAAAGTGTCTTAAGGAAGAATGTAAAAATGGGGCATCTTCCAAGAATTTGCCCTGAAATATTGGCGTGTTGTGAGAGAAGTTACACCTATAAAAATAGAGATTTTTACCTCGAAAGCAAGGCCAGAAGCTCAGAGTTAATCTAGTGGAGCAGTTTTAAAAGCCAAAAAAATAAAAGTGATCAATATTCTGAATTGTTTAGGGATCTATAACGGCACGATGTTGTTTTCCTATCAGATATTGAAATTATCCTCAAACAAATTCCGCTTGAGGATTGATGTCACCAGCAGATATTCCATCCAGATCAGAGCTAATCATCACACGTGGTGTATGAGAGGACTTTGGAGTGACTGGAGTGAAGTTATTTATGTTGGTAAGAATGACACACTTGTAGTGACTGTTATTACACTGCTGGGAAGCCTGATCATGAGTTACACCAGGGAATTTTAACAGAAAAGCAGGAAAATGGGTATTGGGAGGAAAAAAAATACTTGTTAATGTTCAGGGGATTTAAATCCTTGTTCCATTAAAAATTTAAAAAAACTACTTTGAAACAAACTTTTGGAAATATGAAGGTTTTTTGTGTACAGCACTTTGCTTTTACCTATGTATGTTTTCACAGGCTGCTTTAAACTTGCTTTTTAACTGAGTAACTTCTTTAGTTTTTACCAGTAACTTCTTTAGTTTGCCATGCATTGTGATGTTTGTGAGCCATCACGTCAACTATAATTTACTGGAGCTCTCTGAACTCTTGAATTTTTTGGGGAAAAAAGAGCATCTTTGGAACATGCTCATCTGCCCCACTTTGTTCTGCATTTCCTTGCTGAAGAACTTGTTCTGGCAACAACAGTTTCTTTATCATGGCACGTTATCAACTGTTTGTTCTTAGACATCCTCCTTTGCTCTTATCTTGAGTTTCTTCACTTCCTTGTTTCCACTTAGAAAAAGCCTCTTACACTCTCCTGTTTACTACACTTTTCCCCCTCAGATCTGTTTTCTAGTGAGTGCAAATCTGCAGCTGTTTTGCCTCCTTTCTCTGACACATCCCCTTGAACTTCCCACCTGGCTCACGTAGCAGACACGGAAAACCCATTCTGATGCTAAAAAAAAGTTAGTCTTCCATAAAAACTTACTAAAATCTCAACAATATCCAAGGTCACCCACTTCATGTTTTGTTACAGAAAAGGGTTTTTAGAGGCTTGTAGTTCATTGACACAATACAGGTTCCTGCCTAAGTTGTTGGGTTTCGGGATGTGCTCCAGCCAGTCTCGTTAGTGTTGCTGTTAATTTGTTCTGTGGCTCTGAGGAAGTGTCACCTGTTCCCTCCAGTCCATGTGTTGTGTGGACATCTCTAAAAACTTAAAGGACTTTAACCCATTTCCAGAGTTTGCTCCCCCAGCCACCCTTGAGATTTACCCAAAGTGTAACTCGGTGACACTCACATCCTAAATCTTATTTTTTTGAGAGAGCAGTGGTAACCCTGGAGACAAAATAAACCCTCCTGATGTGTTTATAATTGCAAGGTTGGCTGTGCAGCCCTGCCAGGGTGGGGTGGGGAGCAGGGTGGGTCACACAACTGCTCATGGTGTCACCCCAGGGACGGCCGTGCCTCCACAGCCCTTGGTGGATCCAGCAGGCTCAGCTCTTCATTCTCAGAAACAAATCTGGCCACAACTGAATCTTGTGGTGTCTCCAGCCCCAATAAACCCGACCCCTGCAGTGGCTGATTTCTGTCCTTCCCATCACCTGGCGTTGGCAGCGCTGACACCTCGATCCGATCCGTGGGATGGGGAGTTATCGGGAGCACACACGGACTTGGCAGCCCTTTGAAAACACAGTTCACTGGAAATCCTTTTGTCATGTAGCACAAACTGATGGTGGTGGTCACTAAACAGTGCCTTTGTCAAACAGAAACATCTTGATAGAAATACCAGCACTCTGCTCACAGAGAAATTCCTGAGGAAACGTATCAGCAACCAGCTGAAAATTGGGGGGGTTCAGTGTCTTTTTCACAGGTAAATTTAGGGAGCCAGAGAAATCCAGTTCCTGGCTAGAAAGGATTAGCAGAAATGAAGAATGGTTTGATGGAAAACAAACAGTTTGTGCCCGAGTTTATCAGCCAGCAGTGTCTTTGCTGAGTCCCAGTTGGGCACTGTGTGTCTCAGGATGGCAGCTGATGGACCCCACCCTGGTGGGCCTGGCCCCTCATACTTCTTGGATTGTTCTCTCCTTCATGTTAAAATAACAGAAATTCAGTGTTGAAACTGGAAAGTCACTTCATGGAAACTCTTCTTGAAGCTCTGGTGTAGCATTTTTTATTCTACATACTGAGTCTTCATCATTTGCATGGTAATTTGTGACCTGAACACAATCACATGAAACAGCTCATGAAATATTTCAGAAGAATGTGCTTAAAATAATCTGCACTAAAATAATATCTTTCATTTCTTTTTCTCCCTTGAAATTCAGGGCAAAACAAACTGGAGAATTCTGTGGCCTGGATTCTCGCTGTGCTTTGTGTGTCCACGTCCTGCACATTCCTGCTTGTTGCTTTAATATGCAAAATGTAAGTACCCTCATCTTCTCTTTAATTACAGTGTAACTAAGGACCAGGTGTTCAACAAGTGTGGGAGGATGCTACAAGTTTTGCTTATTTATAAGAAAGGGCACTGAGTTTGGTATTCAGGCATAATTATACAAAGCAAAAATAATGAATGAGTAATAATCAGCCTCTTTAAGTTAATATCAATAATAACATTCAGCATTGGTGGGGTAGGAGGGTTATTCAATGTAATCTTAAACAACAAACTCATATACTGAGTGAGGTGGACTTATGAAAAATCTATTTGTCCTTATCTCATTTCTTCACTTAAATGCCTGGTTGGGTCAGTGATTTCCCCAGGAGGACTCTGTTAATCCCTGGTGAAAGCTGCTGGGAGCATCTTTCATGGCCAAAACGTACAGAGCACTGTTGTTTGCTTTCAGTATTTGAGCTATTTATTTAGTTTATTTTTAATTACACAGAGGCTCTGGATGCCATGTAGCAAAGCCAGAGGCCATATAACCAAACTCCCCAAACTGTGCTGTGAAGAAGCCCAAGTACACTTTGGATTCCTGTTGCTGTGACAAGTCAAATCATAAGTGATGAATTAAGGAATTGATGTAATTAGAAGCTTCTCCCCTGAAACATGCAGCAAGCAGCAATTATCAGTCCACAATAAACCCAGCTCCCAGTAATGGAAGTGGTCTCCTCAACTCTGCTAATTTCTTACTCATTTCTTTAGTGCCTTTTAATTTATTGGTCATCCTGACGTGTCCTTGACTATTTTCCTTTCAATACCACATTTCCTTTATCAAATAAAAGTCTTGTCTACAGGAATGTTACAGGAAAATCACTGTTATTGCCTCTCCCTCAAGTGTCTGGTGTCTGCAACCTGTTCTTAAGGCAAGTTAATTAGCAGACAGGTCTCAGCAAGCAATCTTTTTGGGAACAAGACAGATTTCACTCCCCAGAGAGTCTATTCTTGTTCTGTGTCACACACACTTGTCCCCACTATGCAGCCTTGATGTATTGGTGAAAACCCCCAAACTGCTCTTACTTACATCCCTGATTCTTGTCTGGATTGACCTGCAGCTCGAGGTCCTCCACTGCCCCAGCACCACCATCTTCAGCTCTGTCCTCTCAGTTTGGGACAGCAGAACAGCAGCCCCAGTCAGCAGCAGTCACACTGCTCCATCTTCTGCAAGTTCTGCAAGTATTTGGGTATTATAGTTACCCCTTTTGGAGATCCTGGAGCAGATACAGGGGAGAAACAGGTACAGGGGAAGACTTAAGGACCAGCTTGGAGAAGCTGCACTAATTTATTTTATGATTTCAATCCATTAGGCAAATTTAGGCTTTTCCAGTGTCAGCTGCTTGGTGGCTTCCAGGAGTTTCTAGTCTATAATTCCCTAGCACCCGAAGGCTCATTGCATTCCACCTTTGTCAACAATTAAAATGTTCCCTGCCTGCTGCACTGAGTTTCATGGAGTTGCTGGCTTCATTCCACCCTTCCTCCTTCTCTAATCCCCCAGCCTGCCCTGGGAGGAGGTGGGAAGAGTAAGAAGATGAAACACTGTGTGTATCCTGCTCATTGTTGTATCTGCAGATATTAAAAAAAAGAAAAATAGAGGAGAATCCCTAGATCATGGTTTCATTAGTGCTGTCAGTTTTTACTGCTCTTGAAAATTCATGAAGTGTCCCATGCAATTCCAGCCACGGAATCAGTTCAAATTTCCTGTGATTTGAAGCCGTTATAAGGAATTCCATTACAGCAAAGAGTCCTATAAATTTTTCTGTGCACTGCCAGGCCTTGGAGATAAAGCCCACGGTTTGGGAGGAGTGCTGCAAGGCAGAGCAGCCCTCTGGGACTGCTTGGATTGGCTTTTCCCTTCACTTACCTGCAGTAGCTGGTGGAGCTCCTGTCTTGATAAAAAGCACAATTGGATGTTTTCCTAGTTTGCCCCGTCTTTGTGAGTGAGCACCTTCTGTGCTTCCCTAGGCTGGGCCTTGGGATAACATTTGCTCCTGGAGGGGGTAGGTGGTAACTCCATGTGGTTGCCATGAGGACAGGGAGCACCCTCCACACCCCAAAATCAGTGTGGTCATCCCTTCCTCTTGTGCACCTCACACCAGTCCACCACCAGCAGACACCAGTCACGTCTGGAAAAATGCCACAGGGAATCCCAGGAGAGGCAAAACACTACAACAGGCACTCAGACATACACTGAAAACAAATATTTCATCAATGTCATTGTGGCAGTTAGAAGAGGGAAAAGAAGAACTGGAACTCTTACTTATTCCTCTTTGCTTATCTTTGGCCTTTTCATGCCACAGCCTGTGGGAAAAGTGGCAAATTTCAGAGAGACAGACACAGTAACTGGAGGCTCTGAAATGCTGACTTAAGGCACGAGGGTCCCATGGGGTGTGTCCAAAGCCTGGAGGTCCCAGTATTGCTGATGGAAAGGGCCCTGCTCTCACCTCTGTTGAGACCTGGGACATGTTTTGTGGCAAGATATTTAATCACGTGACTCCACCTTTTCAGTAACCTGCAAAAAAGACCAGGACCATTGTGAGGGCACCACTGTCACCAGCCCACCAAGGCCTCACTGCAAAGTCTCTTGCACCTGAGGGGCCCCCCGGACACAAATGTGCTTCTGCCTCACTTCTTTTGGGTGTTTGTCACCCCTCCTTAAATGTTTCTATTCCAGAAGTGACATGTACCTTATGCTTTCTGCTGACTCAATAAATAATTTTGGTATGGCTCCATCAAAATCTTTTATTGACAAACAGCACAGCTGGGAACGTGCCAACCCCAGATAAAACCAAACCTTGGTGGGTACATTGCACTGCAATGGCAGAAATCAGGGCTGGAATGAGGTGCACTGAAATGGGCCTCCAGCCCTTCGGAAAAGTTTGGGGGAGCTGATCAAGTGTAGGGGCTGTGAATACAACAGAGCCTGAAAAGCTGACCCAGCTATGGGCACAAGACCCTGAGGAGGAAGTCTGGGAAGAATGGATATGATGCCAGGTGCTGGGGTAATAATATTGGCACTCGTCCTGCCCCACTCCTGAGTTACACCAGCAGCCACCTCACTGTCCCACTCCACTGGCGGTGACCAAACAGTCTGGCTTGTCCTCTGCACCCAACAGTGGCCCCACTGTGTTCAGCATTTCAACAATATCTCCCAAAAACACCTCACACCTACTTTTCCTCCCCATATTCCCACTTCGGGGAATTCAGGAAGCTTTTGGAAGAATAGTCCTGAGAACATAAGCAGTGAACTAACCAGACATCAGCCAGGAGAGTTGTCACAAAATAAACGAGGCAGAGGAGCAGATCTGCCCTTGGTCCCATCAGCTCCACATCTCTGCTTCATGGATATCAGGATGTCCCACAGAACAGACCCTGGATGCTAATCCTGGACTGAATCCTGTAGTCTTCACTCAGGCTGAGTTCCTATTCATATCTGGCCCTGTTTGGACGTGGTGCTGTGCAGGGGTGGAGGCAGCGAATGTGCTTTTGTGGTGGTTGAAATGTGAGGGCTGTACTCTGGAATGTAGCAAAGACATGGAAAAGTTCCCCTGTAGCACCTGCTATGCCAAAAATACCAGTGTCTGTGTGCTAGGCCAGGCTGGGGAGTGTCAGGCAGGGAAGGGGATCTCAGAGGGTGTTAGTAGGATGAGTTATTACACCACTCAGCAGAACCATTTACTGCCAGCCACCTCTGGGGCCTTTCCTGCCTCCTCCTTGTTCCCTCGGCACACAATTATTTCTAGTTGCTCTCCTGCCATGAGACACAGGCAGTTTATGTCCAGAAACCAAAGTCTGAGCAAGAGGCAGCTTGTCTTGACTGTCCAAACAAGGTACATGACAACACAGCCTTTGGGAGGAACATGAGCACGAACAGACAGATCAGAGCAATTAATTTCTCTCCCAGACAGGCCTGATGTCACTAAAAGCCCCGGGAATGCCCGGTTGGATCGGACCAGCTACAGCTGTGATGGGAGAGGCTGATGGGGGAGAGCATCAGCCCATCTCCTCCTTGTCACCCACATGTCCCCAGGGCCCAGAAATGAGGAACAACACACCTGCCTGGTCCCCAGGGTGTCCACTGATGGACCATTATCCATGACTGTGACCCCTTCTGAACCTGCTGCTGCTGTCACATGCCAGTGATGGAACGGGAGGGGGGGCAGGAAGGCTGGTGGGTGAGGAGACATGTCTTCTCCTGGGGCTAAACATGTTCTGCTTGTTGGATACATCATCCATCAGAGAAAGCAGCTCTTTCACATCCCTCCACTGCTGTTTTTTGCAGAAACCGTGTCTGGAGCAAACTGTTTCCACCAATCCCAACACCCAGCAACAAATTCCCAGATCCCTTCCCAGTCGACTACGAGGTAAAAAAACATTTTAGTCACTTTTTCTTTTTTTTTAATTAGAAGGAATGCTTGTGTCTGTGTGCTGCTCTTTCCCTCTAAGGCTGGGAGCAAATAGAATCACAGAATCATTAAGGCTGGAAAAGATCTCCAGGATCATCAAGTGCAGCCTTTGACCTGACACCACCACACCCACTAAACCAAGGAGCTTCTTCCTGCCCACTTAAAGCCTTTTGACCTCTTGGAATTTCTAATGTCCATAGTAAATGTGGGCTCCATGGTCAAGTGTGTTGGGCAAAACATGCCAAGGGGGAAATTCATGGGTGCAGTTAATGGAACAAGGCTTATGTCCTCTGCTATGAGAATAACATGGTTATCCATGGAATTCAGTAATTCCTGAGGCTCTTTTTGCAATCCTAACTGCTGAGGTGGGTTCTGACCTGGCTGTGTGGCCACCTCCTCTGCCAGGGACAGGTCCCAGTCCGTTGTAGCCCCGGATCTGGCCTTGTTTGTAGATGCTGTGTTTTGGGAAGGGTTAAAAATGAAAAAAGGATGAAGTGCTTTGCTAATATGCACTGAATTTCAGGCACATGTTCCATACCTCTGGCTCTGCCTTTTGTAGGGAAAGGCAGGGACTGGAGGGTGACTCCTGGGGAGCTGATTTATTTTGTTAAACCTAGCAAGCTGAAATGTTTTGCTCCCACTGTTAAGCTGGACTTAAGCCTTATTACGTTCGCTGTTACTTCTGATAAATACATTTGCCTTACAGATAAGATAAAACCCCTCATTGTCTGCTCATGGGAAGCACAGCTCAGTAACTTGATTTTCATTAGTCCCCTCAGAAAAGGGGTTTGATTTTTTGGATATGGTTCTTACACCATGATCTGGTCAAGGAAACGGGCTTAAAAGATTATCTTATAATGTTTGTTTTTAATTAAACCACGGGTGTAAAATAACATGACTAGGGGCATCACAAATTAGAAGATGAGAAATAGCAAATATTAATGCTGCAGCTGGAAAATGGGAGCTTGCAAAGGCTGTTTCACATCATCATCATCAGAACTGTTTTATATTTAGTTGTCTCTTTACTTAAAGGGAGCTGGGTGTGGGCAGGTGATACCAACCAGAGGCTTTCAGCTGGTACTGTGGCCACAAGGGCAGTGGCACCAGCAAGGAGAGGTGAGGACATGACCCTGGTCTGTGCTGAGGTCACCAGGGAGAGTGAAACCCTCAGAGCTGTTTGTTGTGGACATTCAGTTCCTAAATTTGCAGCGTAAACAAGAGGGTGAGGTGATGAAAGCCCTGCAGCGTGGTGGCCACATGGCCCGTGGGAACCTGCTCGTCCCCCAGGAGCTGCTCTGCTGCCCTTGAGGGCTTCCCAGAAGCAAAGCTACTGCTCAGCTTCTGCTTCCTTCTGCAGGTCACCCCAGCCCTGCACTTGTGCAACTCTGCTCAGTGCTGAGGGATCAGGTCGTGGCCCCAACATTGGGCTTTGCTGCTGTGTATTGAGAAGAATTCAGACCATACTTCAGCCCCTGCTCCTGAAAGGGTGGTCAGGCACTGGAAGGGCTGCCCAGGGACCTGGTGGAGTCACCATCCCTGGAAGAGTTCAAAACCTGAGTGGATGTGGCACTTCACGACAGGATTTAGTGGGAATGGTGGTGTCAGTCAAAGGTTGGACTGGATGCTCTTGGAGGTCTTTTCCAGCCTTAGTGATTGTGTGATTCTGTGCCCTTCAGCTCCTCCTGGGGCTCTTTGTTTCTGACTACAGAGGGGTGTCTGGTGGCCACTGCGGCCAACATGGGGAATCTGTGGGTGCAGGGGTGTGTAAAACATGCCCAAATGGGAATCTGTGGGTGCAGGGGGCTGCTGGCCTGAGGGACAGAGTGATGAGCAACCCCGAGAGAACTTCAAGAGGAGCGGGAAAATTCTCGTGTTGAACCCAGTGCTCCTCAGCTCTGACCTCAGAAAACACTTGGTGTGAATCCCTCTTTAAATGCACCAGCTTGAAGCAGGATGTTTCTCACGAGCTCTGTCCCAGAGCCAAGCAGCCCCAGCTCCCAGCTCCCACCTCACAGGGGTTTGCTTTCCAGAGGGCCCGGACCTGCACCAGCGACACGGAGACCGAGTTCAGCAGCTTGGCTGAAGATCTTTACTGCAGAGCCCTGGATGATTCTGTCTTCTGAGAGGCTGCTCCGTGTCACCTCCATGTGTCCACATTCCCAACAGGAAGGAGGACTTGTTTCCCCTTGCTTCCATGAGCTGCTGAACACAAAGTCCCAGTTGAAACAGGATATAAGCACATGGCACAAGGGCTGTGTAGGGAAAAAAGTCTGGAAAAGAGCTAATGGCTTTTTTTTTCTGGCTGGCAGTTTAATCTTTTGGATATTTGTTTTAACTAACTTTGACAACTTAAGATGCAAAACGCAAACTGGGACTTGGCACGGCCCTGGGAATGGCAGCAAGGCACCCAGCCATGGTCCTGGTGGTGACCAAGGCGGGTCAAACATTAGGAAAAGAATTAAAGGAGCTGTGAAGCCTCCCAGTGCTCTCATCCCTGGTGCTGTAGCAAGTCCAGCATGAGAGTGGGATCCACGTTTGGCCTCACTGATACACTTTGTAATAAACAGCCTGAATTTCAATCTGGAAAGCCTCCATGGAAATGCAATTCCTTGCTAAAGGCAGGGCTGTCTGTGCTCTGGGTGAGCCCTGAGGGTGCAGCCAGACCACGCCTGTGTGGGGACTGGGGGTGGGGTGGCCAGGCCACGTATGACATACAGTGTCCCCTGCACTGCTCAGAGGTACCCAAGTCCTGCTTTTTAGTAACCACAGCACCAATTTTGGATGTGGGGAAACATCTCTCTCATCTGCAGGACTTTACAAACCCCAAACCCTCTGAATTTTATAGGGTATTTAGGACAAGGTTAGTTTGATTGTCTACCTGATGCATGGTTAGAGGTTGGTTACTGTTGTGTGCAAAGCTGACATCTTGTCTGCTATTTCTCTACACTCAGGTAGCACATTTCAGTATAAAACAAGGGCTTTGCCTGTTTTTCTTACCCTTCTGGATGAGGGAATACTGTTGGGATGGGGAGGCTCTGAAGAAGCACTTCCCTGCCCAGTGGCTGCTCCCCAGGGACATCAGGACTGGCTCAGGAGATCACAGGGGGCTCAGACTCTCGCCCCTGACATCACTGGGAGCATCTGCAAAAGGACAAGAGGGATTGTTTGGGATCCCTGGCACAAGGGATTAAAGCTCAAGGGGCAGGGAGGAAAGAAAAAACAGAGAGGAAAATGGCACAAAGAGATAAACTCCCTCAATTGCACCTAAAAAACAGACACAACTTGGGAATGCAGTTTTCAGCATTCATTCCAGAAATGTGCCAAGGACTCCTTGGTGCTCTGGAGAGCCTGAGCTGCCACGAGCTGGGCCCCTCCTTGGTGGGCAACTTTAGCAATTCTGAAAATCCAAGCCCAACACTGCAACCTCTTTTTCCTTTCTGTCTGTTCCATCTCAGATGAGCTGGGTTCGAGACAGCCTGGGTTTCTCTTTGGGATTTATTTACCTACCTTGTGTAATCCACTGAGGGAGTTACCAAATAAACCTCCTGCCTTAAACCTTGGGCTTTGACCTCCTTGGCTGCAGATCATGAAGTTCTCCTGGTCCTGTAGAGTCCCTTCTTCTTCCAAGAAACCTCCTCTCCATTGAGCCTGAGATGGGCTTAAGCACGTTAACAAAGAATAAAAATAAAGAGTTAATCCAGCAATTTTTTGGAATGCGCCTAAAGAAATGGAGTTCCCAGGTACTACAGACTAAAAATAATTATAATAAATGAGCCAGTTCTCATCTGGGTAAAATAGCATGGTTCCATCAAAATTAATGTAGCTCATTAATATAACAATGTTTGTGCCTCAAACGTGCTTTTAATGGAGGTACCCAAATTTAACAATCTAAAATCAGAATTTCATTAGTGAAATCCTAAAAATGAGACTAAAGAGAAGAATTAATTTATTGGAAAGTATTTTATGTCATGCCTTCAAGTGGCCTAATAAAGATTTCTACATATAATTTCATTCCCATTAATGATATTGCAGAGATTAATGCAATGTATTTAAATATATTTTGCATGTCAGGTCCTTGGTACTTCCAGGGAGGATGAGTCCCCTCTTCAAGGACTTGATGGCTTGGAGGGCCAGCAGCCAGTCTTGTAGTCATGCTGGTCAATAAAACCAAGCTGGTGTAAAGCAGGAGTATCTTCATTTACCCAGCTGTTGGCCCAGCCTGCCCACTCCTACTGGGGAACCTCACCTGGACTGGAGAGCCAATGATGCAGGGTGAGGACAACAGTTCCTGGCCCAGCTGCCTCCTTGTGGTCGTTATCTTTGGAGTGAAGTCTTCATTTCCAGCAGCACAAGAGTTTGTCCAGTGCATCCAGCTCTGGGGTCCCAGCACAGGAAGGGCTTTGACCTGTTGGAGGCACCAGGATTGTTCAGAGGGCTGGAGCAGCTCTGCTGGGAAGAAAGGATGGGAGAGTTGGGATTGTTCAGTCTGGAGAAGAGAAGCTTTGGGGTGACCTGATTGTGGCCTTCCAGGACCTGAGAAAAATGGAGAGAGACTGTTTCCAAGGGCCTGGAGCAACAGGACAAGGGGGAATGGGTTTAAACTGAGAGCAGGTTTACATTAGATATATTGGGAAGGAATTCTTCCCAGGGAGGGTGGTGAGGCCCTGGCACAGGTTGCCCAGAGCAGCTGTGGCTGCCCCATCCCTGAAAGTGTCCAAGGCCAGGTTGGACAGGGCTTGGAGCAACCTGGGATAGTGGGAGGTGTCCCTGCCCATGATGATCTTCAAGATTCCCTTCCAACCCAAACCATTCTGTGATTCCACGATCCCATAGGATCTCTGATTCCATGATCCCAGGCAGTTTGCTCTCCCTGCAGTGGGGAATGCAGGGAGGCCACACTCAGGGCTGTGTGTCACATTTTGGCACTGTCACACCAGCCCACACCACAGGGAATCTCCCACAGCACAGAAATATTTATTCCAATTTTCCTCTCTGATCCCAGCTCCCAGCCCCGTTCATTCCTCCTGCCATGGCTCTTTCCCTCTGCCTCCAGGAGCACAGCCCAGGAACGTGCCCCTTGCCCACCTCTGGAAATGGCCATTTTAAATTTGCTTTTTAAAAATGAAATTGCCTCACTGGGCCAGTTGACTTTTATGCTTCCTTACTTGCCAAGTGCAATACTGCTCCTTTGAAAAGCCAAGCACATCACATGGCTCCTGTGCTGCCACCCCTGAAAGAATTAGAAAGGTAGGTTTGGTGGATTTAGTGATTTCAAGCAGTGCTCCCCAAAATCCTCAGGAACTGGTGCTGTACCTGGAGGGGTTTTGCTTGAGGCACAGGGTCAGAGATGCTCCAACAGCACCAGCCTCAGGAGCTTGGACAGACATAAATAAACATTATCACCCCAAATTCACCCTCACAGACTTCTTTTGGTCAGTTTAGAAGCAGAATTAGACCAGAGATTTATAAATAGATTTATTTTTTTTCTGCCTCCACAAAGTTTTGACTTAAACCAACTCTTGTATCTTCACATCAGTGACAGTCTCAGCAGGAACTGAGGTGGAATTTCTCACTGGGTAGAAGGAAACATGGAGGAAAAAGGCTCCTGGAAGACAGGTATCTTTACAAATGACAGAATATTTATTACCAATACCTTTAAAAAAAGATTACATCTGCTAGATCACTGATAAATATCATTTACACCGGGGAGAAAACTACAGCAGCTTTTTTTTTTTTTAAACTTCATTTTTCTTGGTTTTGTGGTTTTTTTTGTTTTTCTTATTTTATTTTATTTTTTTTTTTTTACATAGAAGTAACCATATCAAACTAAGAAAGGAACACAGCTTGAAATACTGACAATATTTCTCTGGTCAACACCCCTGACTTTTACACAAGTGGAATCCTGATTATGAGTTACTGAATAAATATATTTAGAAGGTCTAAAAGTTAACTGTAGTATTTTGTAAGCAAAAAAAGACAAGTTACAGGCAAATTCAAGCTATCAGGAAAAAAAAAATAAATCAAATATACCACTGCAGCGCATTTCAACTTGAAAATTGTATAGAAAATTCCGTTGCCTTTGACCAGCGTTTTCCCATCTGAGCGAACTTACAAAATTCCCCCGTAGTAGCAAACAGTCCTTCCCTTAAGAAGAGTTATTCCATGTGGATATTGTAGTTTTCCAGCGGGACTCTGTTGCCTGCAGGCATCTGTGAAGAGTTTCTAGAGAAAGGCAAACTTCCTACAGAGACCCCCGGGAGATCCCACCTCCCCTTGGACAAGAGCAACCTTCCTAAGCACTGTCCATCGTGGAATTCCCATGGATGAGGAGTTGTGTTCCAATGCACGGGCAGAATTCCCACGGATGAGGAGTTGTGTTCCAATGCACGGGCGGAATTCCGATGGATGAGGAGTTGTGTTCCAATGCACGGGTGGAATTCCGATGGATGATGACTTGTGTTCCAAAGGCAACGAGCCTGGAGCAGTTTTGTGTCTCAGAGTTGCTGGGCTCTGGTTTCCTTGGGATGAAATCCCCAAACTGAGGTGGGCAGGGCTAGGTTTGCCCAACCCTTCGTGTCCCTGGAGGCAGAGATCCCATCTCTGCAGTCCCTTCATCCCTTCCCAATTGGAAGCTGACAGGGATGAAGCCAGAGCTGTGTCAGGGCAGCAGGAACGGCCCCTCGCCGCACGGTGCCAGAGCAGTCGCTGTGCGTCCTGTAGTCCACAACCAACCAAAATTCCTGGGTTTTTGCAACATTCTGAGTATTTCAAGTTTGTCTTGCTTCGGCCTCTGAGTCAAACCCACCACCCTGCGTGTCAGAAGCACTTGGCTGAACACGAGGGTCACTGGAACTGCCACGAAATTCTGTGTTAGAAATGGGGTCTGGGTCGGTCCTGCCTTGAGTGGCCTTGTAAAACTGTACAGTGAACTGGCAGCCAATTTACTAAGAACAACTTTTGAGCTCTCCGTCATAAAGGAAAAAATTCCAAACAATATTTCCGTGATTATGTCGTCCGTAGCGTTTTATAGCAGAGGAAAAAAATTAATATCTACATCATATGTTAACTTTAAAAAATTCTATAAAACACTAAATATATAATAAAAAATATGCATATAAGGACATATGTAAACTGCTTTGGTAACATCATATTACAGATGTTTTCAGTGCATTGCAGAGTTTCCAAGGAAACTTCAGACAAAGCTATATTTGCTTTGAGGAAGTACTGTATAATGCCATTCCTAAAGAAGCATAAACATTTTTTTTTGTTTCCAGTAGTAAGATGTACTCAAACCACAATATTACTTTAGTACTGGGTGTCTTCAAAACAACTAGCTAAATGTTGCTTATATTATAAACCAGAAGTCCTGGGTGTCATTTTTGTCATAAACTGGAGCGGGCTGTGAGCGAGATCATTATCGTGCTGATGGCTGACAGCGTGCAGGCGCTGGACGTCGACGAGCCGGAGCCTCGGGCGTAGGCATCTGAGGAGAGAGGGACACAGGGACAGGGAGAAAGGGGAGAGGGAGAGGAGAG